CAACCTAGCAGCGGCGAAAATGGAAAGGGACTCGGTCCAGAGCCTTCCTCTAGAAGAATTGATCAATACACAATGAAAGGAAACTCACCACAATGGCATTTCCTCCCACCTCTTCCCCCTTGATCACCTCAAACCTTCCTGACTGCAGATGGCCTACTTCCTAACCCACGTCAGCCTCTGAGCACCAAATGGCTATGGTGCCTGCAGAGCAGAGCAATCAGATATTCTTAAGCATTAGACACAAGACCAGCTCAGGATTTCTCCGAGAAATCATCATATATGGTAACTCTTCCTTTCCTTACTCCCATCTTCTTTGCTTTATGGAGACCTCCTTATCCCTGCCTAGTATTCAGAAAGATATAACCGGCTGAGGAATACCCAGCTTCAAGTATAACACTGACCAGAAGGACAGAATGGGATCCAGCCAGCTGGCCAGGGCATGAGTCATCACTGACTCTAACCGTGATCCGTGTAAATATTGGGATGCACTTTTCTGCTTTGTTAGTATTACCATTAACAGATTCTATGGCAGAATAGACCTCAACAGACAAATTCTGTATCAAAAGTTCCCTTGTTATTCTAATTATTTAAAATTCTGAATATATTTTTATAAATACACAATATTGCAACAGGGAGTTTCCTATACCTGCCCACCAAACGCCCATTTAATTGATAACGTAAGCGAATCATACATCTTCGAAGCGGGAATAAGGCCTTCAGTTTGTGGAAGTCATGTTACCCTTTACAGAGGAAGAAACCGAGACTGCTGCGGGCCCCACGAGTCCTGTGAATAAACCTTTAAATCCACGCACCAAGTATAACCTGTTTCTATGAGCAAAGGCGTGGGGCGGGGGGACACCCATGGCATACAGACGGAAGGAAGGCGAAGCTGTAGCTCAGGGTGGTTACAAACTTTACACAGGCAAGAACTTTACCCAAGGCCATCAGAGTAATAATGGGCAGGACTGGGCCTGGAACCTAAACTTCTTTTTAGACCACTGGTCTAGAATTCACTGTCAGGGGCCACCTTGGTCTTGACCTCGGGGGAGAGAAGTAGAGGGCTCCATAGAAACCCAGCTGCCCTCAATAGCACTCTGTGTTCTCGGGTCATTTTATGGAAGGACGGCATGTTCTGGAAGCCACAGAGACCAGCCAAGCATTTTTCCCCCTGCTGGAATGTACTTGCCACACCAATCAGCTGACCAGAGTCCAGACCCGGGTTACAGGAGATGCTAACCTGCTCCCTGCTGATGACGGGCAGGAGGCTCTCCACTTCTCTCTTGCCTGGGTTCCCCTTGCTCCAGTCAGAGCCTGCAGGGAAAGGCTCCTACGTGCCCAGGGGTGGGACAGAGAGCAGGAAGGCCCGAGGAGGAAAATCCAGCGTTCTGTTTGCACATTACAATCCCAAATGTGTGATTCATTCCAAATGCAAACTGAAAACCTCACTAATTTCGCCTTCCTTTCCAAACTGTCTCCTTTCAAGTTTTTACACATAAATTCTGACGAGAACTGACATCGTGTTTTCTGCAAAAGAAAGCAACCTGACTGCCAACCGTGGAGGGAAAGTTATGAAAAGTGGTACACAGCTGTTGTTGGGTTTTCTGTTTTTGTAATGGCACTGATGATGAAAACGAAATCACGCTCAGCGGGGCTCCTTCCTGGCTACTACGAAGCTGGAGAAGCCGGTGACAGTTTCTCTTCCCCTCGCTATCAGTGTGAGACTTGGGCAGAGGAGGCAGAGGCCTCAGATGACCTCCGCTGGGCAAAGGGTGCCCGGGGGATGCTAAATGGCAGCTCCCTGGGCGGGCCTGGGAGGCAGCCCCAGAGGGAAGTGGAGCCCCACAGCTTTCTCAGCGGCCTGCTCTCTCCAACCAGCTCTCCCCAGAACAAAAACCACCCTGTCGGGTACCGTCAACAGTCAGAAAAACATGCCTCTAGACAAAGCCAGGCTATTCGGCGGGTCCCCAAGCTGCCTCTTCCACCCCTCAGGCGCACTGGCCCAACAGCTCACGCAGAGGCGGCTATAAAAATCGGAAGAAAGAAATGTCTGCGGAAGGAGGAAGGCATTCCCCTTATGCTTCCCATTTCATGGCAAACACCTGCTGCTGGCCGGGCCAGCAGTACAGGTAAGAGGGTTAGAAGCCATGTCCCATACAGTCCCTGGGAGGGGGGAAGGGACACACGTGACTGCAGGGAGAGTGTGACCCAGAGAGGAAATGATCAAGGGAAATCGGAGAGCTGTCTCCCAACCATTTCCAGAGCTGTCGCATGGAAAGGGAAGCAATTTGCTCTGAGTTACTCCTGGAGGTGAAGGAATAAGGGGACATGAGTTTTTCACCATAAAAAGCACTTTCTCACAGCCAACTGGAAAGAGCAGTGAGCATTTTAAATCTGCACCACACAGGTTTTCAAGGCAACTCTTCCTTTACCCTCCCCCATCAAAAGTCGCCCAGACCTTGCCCCGGCTGGCATGGTTCAGTGGTTGAGCATCAACCTGTGAACCAGGAGGTCACAGTTCAATTCCCGGCCGGGGTGCATGTCGGTATTGTGGGTTCAATCCCCAGTGTAGGGCATGTAGGAGGCTGCCGATCAATGATTCCCTCTCATCGTTGATGTTTTTCTCTCTCTCTCTCTCCCTCTTCTTTTGCCTCTGAAATCAATAAAAATATGTTAATTAAAAAAAAAAAAAGTTGCCCAGACCTAAGAATCTGTCTTTGGCCTCTTCTCTCCCTGCGCCTCTCACCTGTGTGACTATCAAGGTTTCTATGACCCCAGACAACTTTTCAACACCAAACCCCCATCTGTCAAGTCTCAGCTAGACTTTGCACTGGTCTTCCTACTGACCCCCCCATCTTTCAGGGCCCCATATTTCTCCAAGCCACGGGCCTCTGAGCTGTCACTGATGCACAGCCCTGCTCCTTTCTACATTAACATCCAGACTTGTGCCCCCTCCTTCCCCAGCCTCCTCTGTCCCCACCCCCTCAGGACCCCACAGATGCCCCAGGAAATCTCACACTTCCCTCCCTGGACCCAGGGGACAGCCATGGCTGAAACACTGCTGCAGCGGGATACCTGCTCACCCTTCAAGGTTGAGTCTCGACCTGCTTTCCACTCACCCCGTCTTCATCGCTCCCTCCCGGCCCACTGGACCCTCACCTTCCCTGCATGTTTAGCAAATTGTTTTAGTTGATGACAACACTGTCCTGTGCTAAACCCTTAGCGTCTCAAAGGCAAGGGGCTGAGTCTGTTTCATTGTTCTCTCCCCAGAGCCTACTGTACCGTCTGGAATGTGTTTGCTGAGCGTGTGAAAAAGAGAAAGAAAGAAGGAAGGGAAAGAAAGGTAGAAGGAATGGGAGATGGAAGGAAGGGAGGAAGGAAGGAAGGAAGGAAGGAAGGAAGGAAGGGAGGGAGAGAGGGAGGCTTTGGGGGGAAGAATGCCCTGCATTTGGTGCACTCTTACTCCTACTCTATTTCCTTTCCATTAGAGTACTTTCCCTTCCACTGGATTTTAAAGATTTCGTTTGTGGGTCCAAAGGGAAGATAATGCCTGGCTTAGCTACACTGAATAGGGGTGCATTCTATGAAACAAGGCAAGAGCCTAGTCAGAATCAACCACAGCGCAATACACATCACAAGAATCATAGGGGCAATTATTTATCTGAAGAAATTTGGTAATTAAGTGAATTAGAAACTAAAACTAGCTTCATGCTTTTAAAAAAATTGCAGTAAACCTGAATTTGTAAAACATGTTTTTAAGCATAAAAGTCTTCAGTGACTGACTACTTTCCTACCCTGGGGGTTGGCAAGCAAAGGGAGGGTAAGATCCAATTTCTCCCTGGCTTGGAGGCTGAGAGTCATGCTCAACTGCGCGCACCAGCAAAAAAGTCAGATCCGTGATCCATGATTTTTTATAAGGTTGCCAACCTCTAAGAGGTTTGCTTTAACATACTCAAAAAGGTCACTGAAAACAAAAATACAAAAGGCCCTGGTGACTTTAGCAAGAAGAGATCGGGTAGCAAAGTGGGGAGAGAAGCCAGACTGCAGACACCAGAGATGAGTGGGCACCGGGAAAACACAGGACAGACTCAGCGGCAACACACTTGGAATTGAAGGGAGCAACACACGCACAGAAGTGGGAACATTCTAGAAAGGCAACAGATGTAAACAAAACCTCTTTTTTTTTTCTGAATCTGGGTGATACTGCGCATTTTTTAAATGCAAGTATTCCAATAATGGGGTGAAAGCCAGGTGGGAATCTGGGGGCAGCAGCAGAATGACAGCGCTATTAACACAAAAACTCAACAGAGTTGACACTACTTGTGAGGTTGGGCCACCTAAGTCCAAAGTTTTGGAGGAAAATAGAGATAACTGTAGAGTTAAGATTTGTCCTGGGATGTGGTTCTCAAACTTCAGGGTCATATAAATGTCCTGGGGTATTTGTTTAATAGACTGTGGTCCTACCACCTGGGATTCTGATTCAGTAATAGGTCTAGAGCAGGTCCTATGTTGAAAAAGAAGCGGGGAAAAAGTAGGGAGGAAGAGAGGGAGGGGAAAAGGAAGGAAGGCAGTTAATTATAACTTTTTTAGAAGGAGCCCTGGTATTCCAGTGTAAAAGTGTTATAGGTAGTAACGGGACCACAATATGAGACCAGCCAAGAGCAGTAATTCTCAAACTTTATAATGTGCATACGATTCCTCTGGGGCTTGGTAATTTCCTGTGGTTGGTGGCTGTCATGTGCATTGCACAATATTTAGTAACATATCTGATATTTAGTAATATATTGACCTCTCCCCACTAGATGCTGGTAGCAACCCCACCCCCTTGTGTCAACCAAAATATGTCCTTAGACATTGCCTGATATACTCTAGGGAGTAGCAGCTCTCCCCGTTGAAACTCACTGAGTTAGAGGAGTATCCCAAGGGCAAAAGAAGGTGCTTTTGACTTTGCAATGATCAATCCTATTGAATTTTCATACTTTAGAAATCCAATGATGACATACCTTTCACTTCTATCATTTTCTACTTCATTCATTCTGACTTCTATTGACACAATTCTGTATAAGAAAAGGAAAAGGCAGGGGAAAGGAGAAGAATGTAATCTAATAATGTAAAAAAAATACCCACAAGAGTTAAGCTAAGATAGAAGGCAAAGGACTGGGAGCTACTGGTGTTATAATGGGTGTAATGTCATCAATTCTCTCCTTCTGAAGAATATGAATAGAGCACTGGGATTGTGGAAGGGATAGTAATACTAAATGTTCCATTTGTTCTCCCATATTTCCCAGCCCTCCTTGCTCTTAGAGTAACCCATGTGATCCCTCTGGCCAGTGAAATATGTCACCTACAGCCTGAGGCAGTGAGAAGTTCAGTGCTGTTCCCCAATCTGTCTTTGTCACACAGACTGAGCAGGCCATGTGCGCCTAATGGTGCAACCACACAATGGCAGAGCCTCTATCACAGTGGTTCTCAACCTTCCTAACGCCGCGACCCTTCAATACAGCGCCTCATGTTGTGGTGACCCCCAATTTCATTGTTACAAATTGAACATAATTAAAGCATAGTGATTAATCACAAAAACAATATGTAATTATATATGTGTTTTCCAATGGTCTTAGGCGACCCCTGTGAAAGGGTCGTTCGATCCCCCAAAAGGGTCGCGACCCACAGGTTGAGAACCGCTGCTCTATCAGGTTGGGTCACTGAGTCACTGAGTGGGGTAGGTTTCCCTGCTGATTCATTTGGGACATCAAATGAGATTTGGGGGTTAGGGGTGTTAACCCAGTCTAACCTAACAGTGAGAATAGTAACCCCACTTCAATGAAAGAACAACTAAAGTCCTCGGAATTTATAACCCAATTTTTCTTCATCAAATTATCCATTGCCAAAATTACTTTAAATTTGTATAAATGGACAAGAGAAGGAACTTTGAGGCCACACTTCCCCACAACAGAGGAATGCTGAACCAACTAAAATCTCATGAAAATTAGTGTTTTATTGCAATCTAATCAGAAGTCTAATGCTTAATTTAGTTATCACATTTAATAATCATTACAACAATGTTACAAATTAGATATTAAGGCAAACACAGTTGGCTGCCCACTCAATATGCTAACAAAATCGCAGTGATGTTCAGAAAATGGGTGGCAATGGTGGACCCCTACACCAACCTTAGGAAATGAAACGTTGTTGATCAGCTAATGCCTGGCACACCCCCCTAGATGTAATAGTGGTTTCTACATTTTCACAGGGTTCAGGAAAGAAAAAGAAGGACATGGCCCAGAGAACACATGTGGCCCACAAAGCCCAAAATATTCACCTGTGCCGAGCCAGCTCAGCCAAGGGTTCACAAGCCTGAGTGAGGGCGGGGAATGGATGAAGAAATGACAAAGAGAATAAGCTGGGTCTAGGTGCATCTTCCTGTGCCTGGCTGAGGCCACAGAGAGAGATCCAGAGGCAAGTGGCTTTGCCAACAGGTCAGTCCGAGGCTTAACCCTATAGCCGCGCCCTACATTCACCATCAGATTTTTAAAGAAGTTTGCTAACCCATAGTGTATGCCAACCACAGTAACCCCTTTAAGAGTTTAAGGGTGAACAAGTTATGTAGCTTTGGGCTCCAGGCTTGAAACCTGAGGCGGGGGAGCTCCTGGAAGCTTTTCCTTCCTGATTAAAATATAAGACCCAGGGGAAGAAATGCCCCCTTCTTTGTCTTCCTCTTGCTGTTGTCATGTGACCAGGAAGAAACAGTCAAGGGAACCAGAAAGCAAATCAGATACCAGGTGAAGCCAGGGCATGGCTGAATTATTGAATTAACCAGCCCTGGAACAGTGATGCATCTCCAGGTATCTCCGCAGAGAGGGTAAAAATACCCCTGTTGTTGCAACTACTTTTGTTGGGTCTTCAGTTACTTAGAGTGGACAAAATCCTATTGACTTTCCATCACCGTGCAATAAACAAAGCAACTCTCGCATGTCTAGCACGATGGAAGCTGAGAAGCTGTGCCTTTGCTCCTGGCTGGAAACTCTTCACAACATTGTAGGCCACCTCCCACATGGCCCTAGGAAGTCATGATTCTCTTAACTCTTGCTTCGGAAAGAAAGCACTAAATCTTCCAAATTCAGCCTTGGACATGAAATGCTTGAGCAACCCCAGCACCACAAGGTTAGAATCTTTCATTTGTAAGATGACAAAAACACTGTTGGTGAACCAAATGCTATTGGATCCCTTAAAAAATGTCCCTACCCACAAAACACTAGTATCCCTATATCTACAGTTTCAAAATAGTTCAACGTATCTTTATAAAAGTGCCTTGAGCCTAGCTAGGGTTGCTCAGTGGTTGGGCATCGACCTATGAACCAGGAAGTCACTGTTCAGTTCCTGGTCAGGGCATATGCCCAGGTAGCAGGCTCGATCCCCAGTGTGGGGCAGCAGGAGGCAGATGATCAATGATTCTCTCTCATCATTGATGTTTCTATCTCTCTCCCCTTCCCTTCCTCTCTGTAATAAATAAAAATATATTTTTTAAAAAGTTCCTTGAATTTATCTTTTGCATGGCCCTCTATCTCCCTACATGAAACAAACAAAAAAATATCACCTTTAGTTTTGCTAATTAGGTTCTCTTCAAGTAATGTCATCAAATATGTAGATGCCCCTGACAATGTTCGAAGGTTACTCCCTCTAGTCCAGTGGTTCTCAACCTTCCTAATGCCGCGACCCTTTAATACAGTTCCTCATGTTGTGGTGACCCCCAACCATAAAATTATTTCCGTTGCTACTTCCTAACTGTAATGTTGCTACTGTTATGAATTGTAATGTAAACATCTGATCTGCAGGATGTATTTTCATTGTTACAAATTGAACATAATTAAAGCATAGCGGTTAATCACAAAAACAATATGTAATTATATATGTGTTTTCCAATGGTCTTAGGCGACCCCTGTGAAAGGGTCGTTCGACCCCCAAAGGGGTCGTGACCCACAGGTTGAGAACCGCTGTTCTAGGATGAGGCAGAACATCTGTCCTGATCATTTACTCTGTTAAGGCTGGCTTCTGTGGGTAATGATTTAATCACTGGAACATGGAAGCTGTCATCATGCTCAAAGGCTGTCACTGGACTCATTGATGAAAAAAGCCCTTCTGGCCAGAAATACAGACATCAGCCCAGTCACAATAGCTTCCTGATATTTCTTTTATTGCTTCTACCAAACCACAGCAAACAATTTCTATAGTGTTGCTGGGAAATAAACTTGTCTGAATACAGCCCTTAAAATCTGAAGCATTTTATATTATGTTATTATAATATAATAATACAAATACAATAGTTATAACCTTCGGGCCCTAAATAGTTACCTGCACAGGTTAGTAAATTTCCCTCTTTATTTTAGCATCCAAAGCTAGTGTTGAGGACATTTTTTTTTTTTTTTTGGTCCTTTAAATCCAAGGTAGTGGTTCCTAACCTTGGCTACACCCTGGAGTCCCCAGGGACCTTTAAAATATAATGATGTGTGGTCCTATCCCTAGAGTCCTCATTAATAGCTCCAAATGCAGCAGGCGCATCGGGATGTCTAAAAGTTCCCCCAGGTAATTCTAATTTACATTCAGGCTGAGAACCACTGGCCCAAGGTCAATGGCAAATAGAAGAAAATGTAATTAAAGAGCTACACCCAAGAGGAAAGCCACCAATTTGGATTTACAGAGATCTAAGAGAAAGGACTAAGAAAGGTTCCTCCCACTACGTATTTAACACTTCTAAAAATAACAGGAAATCAATTATTATAAACCAATCAATAACTGTGATATTTATTTGCTTATAAAAGTTCTTCTCTTCTCTGTCCATCAGTAAAGTACTGTCTCCACTTTAACCAGCTGGTACTCGATCGATCATGGACTCAATTCCAAGATTCCCAGGGCAGGGACAGAGAAAGAAGGCTTCTTACACTTCCTTTACTCCTAATATCATATCAACTCTGGCACTACTGACATTTGGGGCTTGATATTATTTTATTGGGGGGGGCGTGTCCTGTGCATTATAGGATGCTTGGCAGCACCTCTGACATCTACCAATGAGAGGCCAGGAGCACATACACAGACACCCCCACATGCCCCAGTTATGACAACCAAAAATGTTTCCTGACACTGGAAGCAGCCCCTGCCCCGAGTTAAGAACCGCTGCCTTAGAAGAACCCGTGCCATGGACCCTACCTTCCACTTCCCCATCCCTACCTCCTCCATCCCCATGGCTGCTGCTTTACTGTAGGCCTTCATCATCTTTAACGTGGACTTCTAGAATCCTCTCCCAGCCATTCTCCCAGCCTCCCACCTCCCACCGCCCTCGGAGCTCATATGTCCTCTGAACTGCAGCAGAGTGATGTGGATGATGGGGTGCAGCACCCAGAATGGCCTCAGTCCTGAGGCACTCCCTCCCCTATTTGCTGAGCCTTCTCCAGTGGAAGAGAGCCACTTCACTGTGGTTATGTACCCACCACAGGGGCCACCTTCATCCAGTGACTGCAGGTGTATCAGGGCCTGGCTGGCCCCTGTGCCTCTGGGCGGAACCGTTCCAGCTCCAAAGCATCCCTATGGGACCAGCCTTTGTCATTCAACTCTTCCTTCTGTCTAATCCTGTTTCCTTTGCTTTCCCTCAAATGCTATCCCTCAAAACACTCCCCAATATCTGCCTTGCTTGGCCTGTTTCCTCAGGGACAAGAGCAAAGACACAGAGTTGCCTTCCTAAGTTACAAATCTCATCATACTGTTCCCCTGCCAGCCAGCCTGCACTGGTTCCATCCGGCCTACACAGAAGGACCCTAAAGAGTAATGACCGAGTGGCATACAACGGCATGACAATCAGTTGAGTGCTGGAAAAGCAACTCTGGGAGGGGAGGGGAGCCTGATATGTAGCATTTGCTGATCCCATGGTGTAAATATTTCCACCACTGTCAATTTCAAGCCACCAACAGTTAAACAACCCGCTTGCAAAACTACTGGCTAGTTAATAAATGGCTCTCTCTCACGAGCCAGACACGAGCCAGCTCCAGCAGACCGCTGATAACCCCTG